AAAACACTTGTATCTGCCATGAACTGGGACCCCGTGAGGGGGCAGCATGGGGGAGGCTAAACTATCCTTCGTGTATGTGTGTGTGTGTGTGTGTTGGTTTGTTCTATTGTGTTTTCACACGGTGTTGTTGCCGTTGCATTTACTTGTTGTTAACCGCCACCCGACTCCGCAACAACCCCCGATAAGTTGGCACAGCAAACGCAATGACCAGCTCCTGGCTCATCCTTGTGATGTGATAGCCTGGGCCGGCGAAAACCCGACATATCTCTCCGTCGCGGCATAGTAGGATGCGAGGTCAATGGTCTGACGACTACGGCATGCGTTTATATGAGCACCCCCCCCCACCCACCCCCGCCCCCGTACGCAAATATTTTCAGGAGGTCCCAGGCGACCAAAGTTGGGTAAGCCCCTACTCGAGCCTCGGACCTGCGGCGAAATACGTTACGTTTGAGCCAGACTGTGCCGGTTGGAACAACGTGCGAATGGCCTTCGAGACCGTGGTCGTGTTCGCGTATGTAACCGGGAGGACTTTGGTGATGCCCCCCGTCAAGCAACGCCTCCATGGTTTGCCGCAGTCGCAGGCCGGAGAACGGGTGGGATTTTTCGCCTACTATCAGGTGCGTCGTTGTTGTTGTGGTGATGATTGTTGTTGGCGTTGTTGTTGGCGGTGTAGTTATTATTGTCGCTTTCGGTTGTACATGTTGTTGGTGTTGCTAGCGTCGCTGTTGCTTTGCACGCGTTATAACTTTTGCCGTGGTGGCCGGCGTCGTCGTCCCTTGGTTTCGATCTTCGATCGAGTGCCGTCCTGATTGTTGCTTGGTTGTCTTCCCGAAACCAAGACATAGAGAAACGTTTTACCGCACGGTGAATACCGTGGTTGGCTTCCACTCCAACACGTCGAGTCATATCTCACCACGGTAAAGGCCGTGATTTGCTCCCACTCTAGCAACTCGAGTAACGTTATACCACAGTAAATACCACGTGTCGGATCCCACTGCAACACGTCAAGTAATGTTTTGCCAAACCTACCATGATGCACGGGACTTTTCTCCTTCCTTTTTTTTTTTAGAGAATCTACCCACAAGCACAGAGAGACTATCCGTTCGAGATATAGTCACAGTCGACGGAGATCTGTTGAGTTGACGTCTTCAAGCTAGTATTGAGTGGAAGAAAAACGTACCTGGCTTATTTTGAGTCTGTGATAAGCCTATACGCTGCTGTGTGTGTGTGTGTTTTTTTTTTTTCTTTCTTTTTTCGAAGAACATAACAGATCCATCTCTTCCACAGAAAAGAGTCCTTGGTAGACTAGCAATGATTTAGCAGTGTTGTATCTACCAATTGTTGGACAGATGGAGGCCGTGGAGGAGCTTGTGGACGTGATATCCATGCAGGACTTCCTGGGGCGGGAGTCGAAGAATCTGGGAAAGCTTCCTCCGGCCAACCTGCTCGAGAAGCCGGCGGACCTGTGGAATTTCTTCGAGGTGGGTGTGAAGGGTAAAGAAGAAGGCCAACAGAGGAGTTCATTTGGTTGCAACCGCCGGGGGGGAACCCTTCTGTGTGACCCACGGGTTGGAGCTCCTGCTGTACCAGGCAGAAGTGCTGTGTGTGAGCGCTGACATCAAGTGACGAAAATATGGTACTTACTTGGAATGTCACACCCACTCAGATCAAGTAAATACTCGGTCACGGTTTGTGTTTTGCGTGTGCTTTCGGCCGATAAATCTCCACTCCCCACCCTCTTGATCCTCCTGCCGCACGGCTTCGGTCATGGAAACCGCAGGGCGACTCTGTGCGAAACCTGACGTGGCCGGCTTGGGAGGTATCGAAGAAGGCTTTGGTTTTCCCCTCGTCTCCGGGGAAGCCGCTGCCGCTTGAAGACCAAGGCTTCGTGCAGAGGCTGCAGGATTTTCTCAACACTAGACAGGTGGGTGCGGGTGCAAAAGCGTATGCGTGTGTGCGTGTGCGTGTGTGTGTGTGTTTGTGTGTTTGAAGTAGCATCGACCGCACTCACCGGTTGACCAATGAAAATAAGACGCCAGTCTCAAGCGTGTGTGTGTTTACTGCTTAACTGACCGCACCACGCCAAACGACTTTGTTTGTTTTTTCTTCTTCCACCCTCTCGGTGTTTGTTTCCCCCAAACTGCACGCGTTTTTTTTTTTCCCTTCTTTTGGCCACTGCATATCAGCGCTCACAGCCTTCGTGCCGGGTAGGGGCTCGAATCCGTGTGGGTACCTGACAAATGTTTTTTTTGTTCTCTCTACATGGTTTTGTTACTTTCCGAAGGGCGTCGTGCTATGTTAGGTACACCGTAAGGATTCGAGAGAACGCACGGGGGTGTTAGCGTTTTTCAAGGCTTGATGATTGCTCCACAAGAAGGAGGGTGCGAACACCAACCGATACCTCTCAGGAAAAGCCTTCGACGTGATACTTCCAATACCACCCCTGTCGGCAGTGGTACCCTCCTGGTTGTGGAGAAATCATGCCATGAAAAGCGCTGACACTCCCGTGCGTTCTCCCGCATGAATTACGGACTTTCCAAAAGGCGGTTCACGTTACGTCTTTCTCTATACCTTTGTTTACTTTCCGAAGGCTGTCACCTACGACCAAGTTTCTTTCTTTTTCTTTTTCTTTTTCTTATTGTTTACTTTCCGAAGCCGGTCACCTACGACAAAGTTTCTTTCTTTATACCTTTGTTTAATTTCCGAAGGCTATCACCTACGACGAAGATTCCCTCTTTTTGTTTTTCTTCTTGTTTTACTTTCCGAAGGCTGTCACCCACGACAAATTTTCCTTCTTCTTGTTTTTCTTCTTGTTTTTCTTTCCGAAGGCGGTCACCTACGACGAAGATGCGTGGAACTCGAAAGTCATCCACTTCTCCGGAGACTGCCACGACAGCCGGGCGGAGGGGAGCAAGAACCGCCGCCCCCTGATCCACTTCTACGCCTTCATGCTGCACGCGGACACGCTGGTGGACTCGAGGGTGAAGAGGTTCGCGAGGGATCGGCTCAGATATCGGGACCGGATATTCTGCAAGGCCAGCCAGGTTAGAAGAAGAAGCAGGGTGGGAATGGAATGAGATGAGGTGATTGATTGCCGCTACAACCCTCGTGGTTTTGGGGGGGGTGTTGGAGGCGCGTGCCACGGCGGACATGAGGTGGGAAGAGAGACAGAGACAGAGACAGAGATTCTAGTTTCGTGTTTCGCCTCCTTACCTCCCCGCGTCGTTCTGATAGTATCGATGCTGCTGCCCGGAAACATGCCCATTTTCGTTTTCGTCTTAACCCCTACCTTACCTACCCTCACCCACGCAAACATGCCCATGTTCGTTTTTCTTGGCCATTCCATTCTTGCTCCCCCCCCCCCCGCGTCGTTTAGATCGTGTCGATGCTGCTGGAGGAGAGCGAGGGGGGATCGTTTAGCTCCTGTCACGTCCGGCGTAGAGATCTCATTAACTCTCTCACGCAGGAAGGTGGGTCTAGCCGGACATTATGAGCCGTTTTTGTTTTTTGTTGCTTGTCTTGACTTCAAAATCAGTGCTCACAACAGCATTTTTGTGCCGTTTTGCTCCAACCCCGTGGTCACACAGAAGGGTTTTCTCTCCCTGAGGCCCGCTACCCACCCCTCCTGCATTGCCGTGCAACGAAAGCGATTGCCTGGCATGTGTGTGTGTACATTAGGTGGATCTCATCCACTGTCTCACGTAGGAAGGTGGGTCTAGCCGAACACCATCGTCCGGCCCTTTGGACAGGGCCCGCGGAGGCCTTGGAGCGACTGCCGACGTTGGTTGTTCCAAGCGACCCCCCCCCCCCCCCCCGACATCTTGGTCGTTTTGTTGTTGTTGTTGTTGTTGTTGTTGTTGCTGTTGTTGAAGATGATGATGATGATCGTGTTTTCATGGATGGCTCTCAGCTTTTCATCCAACCCTGGCACCACCATCATGGTCGTTGTTGTTGCTGTTGCTTTCGTGGACGGTCCTCAACTTTCCAACCCTGACGTGATGGTCGCGTTATTTGTTTTCATGTTTTCATGTTTTCATGGCCGGCTCCCTCAGCGGTCGGGATGAGCGCTGAGGCGATGGTGAACTCCACACTCGGCTACCTGCGGGAGGGCGAGCTGGTGTACATCGCCACGGACGAGGAAAACTACGATTTCTTCGAGCCGTTCCGCGAAAGGTGCGAGAAGAGATCAAGTCGGGATATAGACCGGCTCGTATCGTAAGGCCGCCGCGCTGGCATCGTTGTTTTTCCAAGCAAACCAGTTCCTACGGCAGACAGCAAGACATGGTTCGCAAGAAGCGAATACCTCAACCGACCCGCGAAAACACGGCTAAGCACAACCAAGAGGAAGAAAGGGTTATATCGAACAAACGGGTGCTGTCTTTTATATGCCTGTCCCTTAAGTGCCATCCGTTGCAAGGAAGCAAGCACAAGATGCCTAACACCCTTTACGCTGTGTCACACTCAGCACTTCGCAGCCGGGGAATCTGACAGCTGGGCTGCTCTCACCAGAGTTCTTCCTACTTCCCGCCGACGTGTGTGTGTGTGTGTGTGTTTGTGCCCCCGCCTTTCTTAGATTCGAGGTGCGTTTCCTGGCCGATTTCGTCGAAAAGGCCGGGCTCAGGGGGGTTCCGTCGAATCAGCTGGGTATGATTGAGCAGGTGGTGATCTCCCACGGAAGGACGTTCACGGGAACGTTCTACTCTTCCTTCTCCGCGCACGTGTTCCGGCACCGGCTGTATCTCGGGAAGGTGGGGCGGTGTGTTCGTCAGATGCTGATGTTGTTGGCGTCGGTGTTGTTGTTGGTGTGGCCGTTGCTATTTCTGCTGTTGCTCACGTTATTGCTGTCGATGTCGATGTCGATGTCGCTGCTGTTGTTGGTGTGGCTGTTGCTTGTGTTACTAGTGTCACTATTGTCGATGTTGTTGATGTTGTTGATGTTGTTGCTGTTGCTGCTGGTGGTGATGAGGATGATGATGATGATGATGATGGTGATGCTTCTGTTGCTCTCATGTCACCAGTGTCTTGGTTCGTCATCATCATCGCGTAGAACAGACCCGCTCCCACCTTCGATCGTATGCATATATCAATATGTGTCCTTTTACAAACCTTCGTCCCCCCCCCCCCCCCTCCCTAATCTCCCGAGGTGCCGAGGTGGCGCTTGTTTTGTCACGGATGTATTGCCTATGATGATGCGGTTCGTCTGTCGGATGAGTTATTTGCGTACCAACTGAACGTAGGTTGAAGTTCTTGCTCGAAAGAAGAGACCTTGTATTGCTCAGGTCCAAAGTGTGTAGGCTAGGCGCGTACGCCGTAGGCGGAGCAGCTTCGGAGGGTTTCAAGGTTGGTTGGAGGCGTTGGAGGAACGGACGCAGTTGTTCCCGCCCAACCCCGCGCACGGGGCACCCGCGACGAAGAACGCAGCCTTTCGCCGCCGTGCAAACTCGCCCACGCCACGCAAGTGGCACAGTCTTGACGCATCACCCCTCCCCGGCGCTGTCCCGTTTTCTTCGTCTTGTTTGGGGGAAACACAGCCGCTGGATTCGAACTACCATTTCTGGGCCGAGAAGCAGACGGTGCTCCACGACCCGGACGCGCATCCCGCGGCCCCGTACTTCGCGAGGGAGTTCCCAACCTGCTGCGTTGGCATCGACGTGGAGCCACCAGGGGGGGGGGGGGATGATACCGGTGTCCCCCCCCGCCCCCGGGGGTGATCCGCAGCTATTATCCACACAGCCGGCGCCTCTTATTGCGGCCTCGGGGGAGGGGGCGCCCTGATGCCACCCCCCCCACCCACCCCCCCCGCTCCAGGGATCTTCAGCGGTCCGTGAAGACTGTGGTAGGGGTGCCACCCTCTACGCAGACCGCACGCACAGAGAGAGACTGGGGTTTTTGGGGGGGAGGTGCCAAGGAATGTTCTTTAATAAGAGCGCACAAGCCATCCTCAGCAGATGCTTCCCTGGGGGGCACCGTGTTTTTTTGTCACATTTTGGGACGTGCTTCTGTCCGAGTGGGCAGAGCCGCACCAGGCAATGAAGGGGGGGGGGGTAGGAGCGAGGCCTTTGCTCTTTGCCTGCTGGACGCCAATCGCGCAAGATCGGTGAAATGGGCTGTGGGGAGAGGGGGGGTAAGAGCGAGAGCGAGGCCTGTTGCTCTTTGCCTGCTCGACACCAAATCGCCCCCCCAAGTTCAGTTGCTTCGTAGGATAGCCATCCGTTACAAGGCGGGTGGTGGGTGTCAAAGCAGCACGTACTCCAGAGGCAGTGCGTCTACGGTACGCGCGAAAGTAATTTTACTGTTGTTCTTTTTTTTCTCGTGTGCCTTCTTCCGTGGTTGATGACGGGTGGTTGGTGTCGGTGTGCGTGTGCGTGCGTGTAAATTTCTGTACATCTTTTAAGTCGATCGCTTGGTTCGAGAGTTAATAGTGAGTGGCTGGCGGATGGTCCGGTCCGAGACACCCACACCTTCATGGTAGAGCGTTTTGCTTGTTGCCATTTTTTTTTGTTTGTCTTTATAATACCGGACGTGTTTATTCCAACCGGTTGTCGCCAAGTTGGAATGGTTCTTTGTTTGTCTGTCGCACTGGTTTGGTGAGAAAAATGCAGGCCAGGCCTCGCTGTGCCCGTGTTTTTTTTGTGTGTTGCGGGGCAGGCCCGCCGAATCGTCCGTATGTTAGAGCTACCCAACGGCTGTCTTCATCTCTCGTGTGTGTTGTTCCCTGACATGTACTTGCGTCTAAATAGAGAACAACGGGGTCACGTATTTGCGTCTAAATAGATCATAGGGGGGCGCACGTGCGTATCCTAGAAGGGCTCAGCCGCTGGATTGGGCGTGTAGCTACATGGCATCGACGGCCGCGAGACTCCAGTCTCACCAAGTTAAAGTGCAGAGCTATTGAGAGAGGGAGCGTGTGTGCTGTTGAATAGCATCGACCGCGCTAAGCCGGCTGACCAATGAAAACACGTCAGTCTTAAATGTTACGGGTGAAATTCAAGGCCCTCGGCGCGGGGTGGGAAAGTGTTTTGAGATCGGGGTGTCAACGCCCAGGATGCCAATAAAATAAGTGTCGTGTTTGTTTTTCATTGGTGTCGAGCGCCTTCACCGGCTGACCAAAGGTCGCAAACACATCGGTCTCAACGTATGTGCTGTACTCTGTACCTTCGCGCGGGCGGCCTTAGCAAAAGAAGGAGGAGGAGAAGGAAGGGCCGAAGAGGCGGTAGAATGAAGCTTGACCTGGGTGCGAGGGTAATGGTTGGTTGTGCGATGAAAGGGGAAAATATATATAGAAACCGCTTTTCTAGTGGCTGGGTGTTTTATTATTAGGAAAATAAATAGGAAAATAAATACACACACGGAAAGACCACCCGTTCGAGATGTACCCACAGTCGAACGGGATGTGGTGAAATCTTGACAGCAGTGAGTGTTTGACGCTTTGCTGTCTTCTTTTGGTGTGCTTGGGCTCCGGTCGCAACAGGCAGAAAATAAGAGAAGCAGCTATTTTTAAAGCTATTGAACGAGTACAAGTGACGATTGTTTTTCGTTGTCTTATTTTGGTGTTCTTTGGCTTCGCTTCTTCCTTACAGGACGCACTTCGACGGACCCCCCGGGTAGTCGACGACTGGACTGGACTAGCCTCAACGTTTTAGACAGAGCGTTTTTTTCCAAAGTTTTCAGGTGTTTTCCAAATTTGGGAACTTTGCGAAGCGACTTCGAAAGAAACAAAATTTGGAACTTTCCAAAACTTTGCAAGCTGCACTAGTTCCAGATTTTCTGGGACATATGCATTATCCACAACTTTATGGGAAAAAATCCAAAAAAAATCATGACTTCCGACTTTTTGGGGGTAAAAAACTTGGAAAAATCAGTCATGAATAAAACACCCCCAAAGGTAGATGGGTGGTTTGTTTTGACTCGCGCCGCACGTGCGTGGGAGGGGGGAGAACAGGAAGACCTTCCGGGCCTACCTCCGTTTCAAGTAGATGACGAGACGGCCTCTGAAAATGCTGATTGGCCCAACGGGACTGATGTGCTATCCACACCAGACCAACGACACCCACTCGTTCGTGAGAGGTTCTTCACGCTCTCTCTCTCTCTCGGCCCTAAGGTGTTGCTATTGGATCCAACTTCGTGGAAAGACAATATTGTTCTTGTTGCGTGCTCCGTTAACAACAAATTGTCCTGCTCACAGAGCTGCCTCCAATCCGAGGTCCGCTTTCCTTTCAGCGTGCGTGTGTGCGTGGTTGGTTACGACGAACGAACGGAGGTGTTGTCGAAATCAAACGGCACAAGACTTGCATTGCGCGAACAGCCGGCGCGCGGCCTTTTTTACCATGGTTTTGCCCAAGTACTTACTAGCGGAATTCGCCGAGACTCTTAGTCATCATCGTTCTTGTCAATCAACACTTTGCCCTCTGCACACCCACCCACTTGATTGACTTGTTGCCGACTCGGCTTTTTTTGCCTGTATGTCAATTTCTGCCACCTGTTTGCGTCGTCCATAAGTAAGGACATTAGAAGGTACGAGCGGAGATCGTAACGGTTTTGAACGTGAAGACAACAACGACGACGACGACAACAACAACAACAACAACAACAACAACAACAATTAACAACACAGATTGACTTGTGCAAACAAATCAATGTCTGAATGTACTTGATGTGTTTGCAACACCAAAACAAAGAGGAGTAAGCGGGTATACGATGCAGTTTGGTCGAGACGGCTACCGACACCCTGCCGTGCTGATTCATCTGAACCGCGTGAATCAACATCAACACCGCCCACCGTAACTGGTGTTCGTTGTTGTTACTGTTGTTGTGGTTGAGGTCGTTGTTGTTGTTGTTGTTGTTGTTGTTGTTGTTGTTGTTGTTGTTGTTTTCGCGTAGGGGAACGGTTCGGCCTCTCTTCAGGGACCTGGAGCACATCCGTCCGCGTCCTGACCCCAGCAGAGTACCCACAAGGTGACAAGTCCTTCGTCTGAGTTCATTCACGATTGATTCAGACAGCAGCAGCACGCTTGCAAGCGGCTTGTTTAGGGACGGACGCCACAGCCGCGCAGCGGCATCATCGGTAGAACTGAAGGAAGCGTACTCATCTCGCCACACCTGTCAGACAAAATTGAACATTTTATTGACACGGCACCGTAACGTTGTCACCAGAAGACATGACCCCCCCCCCCCCTAAAAGAAACGCTTCATGTCGCACAGCCAAATACATACCCAAGAAGGACAAGTACAGCGAGCGGAATATCGCATGTATGTGAGATCGATCATGATTTTCCGCTACACGCACGCCATTGTATACACGCCAAATCGTTTGTACAGAACAACTTCAATTAGCCCATGCGGTATCTACTGCTACCACCACCATTGTTTCAAACATCGCGGCCCACAGCCAGCCATGCTAGGAATGCAACAAAGATAAAGTATCGCGGCACACAACCAGCCATACATAGGAATGCAACAAAGATAAAATACTCTCCCTCGCCCACGCCACCCCGCTTCAACGCTTCTACCACAAGCCCCCTTCCATGGCCATCAAGGGCCATGGGGCCGGGTAAAAATGACCTTTGAATCTACACTCACTCTGGTACCGCCCCCGCCCCCCCGTCTTTACCACCACAAACAATGAAGGGATCGGAAAAACAGCAGAACATCAATATATAGATTCATACATTCCACCGAAGACAAGATGAATAGCCCTCCCATCTTAAAAGATAGGTATGGAGTGGGGGTTCAAGTTGGGGTGGGATGAGGGGAAGTGAATAAATGTATGTGATGTTACACCATAATACACCAAGAAAGCGCATCGCACGTACATACCAAGACTAGCGGACGGAAAAAAGTATTCCTTCTTCCCAAAATCCACCCCTCCTCCCTCTAGGATATCCCAACATGGAACGGACGGAGGAGAAATGCTACACGCAGGAAGGTGCAACAGGTTGACTTCCGACAAATGCTCTCACACGTATACTCACTCGAACGCGACTATTACCCCAAAACAAGCCCCACACGCTGGGGACAAACAAAACTGCTCAGTACGTACCACAAAATTGAGTGTGAAATGGTCAGGACATAACGCTCCAAAAATCATCTTATCTAAAACTGCTTCCGCGGTCCGGATACGATAAAAAGAACGGTCGGAAGGAGTCCAACCAGAGCTTAACTGCATACTCCACAACTGTCGGGACGACAAGTTGGATGCTGACTGTCGGTGCGACGGAAGGACGCACAAAGCATCGCCAAAAAAAACAAAAAGTAACGCAAAAGCCTTACCCCCCACACACCACCACGACCACCACCACGACCACCACCACGACCACCACCAACATCACCATCACCATCATCTACTATTTTCTCAACTGATCCATACCCAGGAAAAACGCACGGCAAACGTAAGTACAACTACAACTGTAGGCCGTCAAAGGGAACAAGTAACTTTCTCAAAACTCTCGCCGCGCTGACATTACAAAAAGCGGCAGAAACAAGGAAAAATGGTGGGGGCATTCGGCACCACAACTTCAACTCCCGCCCACACTCGGTGTACTCAACAAACCATGACAGGTACACAGCAGTTTAGTTGTCGATCAATTGGCCGGCTAACTGATTTCCTCTTGTAGCCTACACGCGCCGTTCTCCAGGTGCGAAGGAAATGGTTGCAAACGCCCCCCCCGCCGACGCCGCCCCTTCCCCGGCGTCCCAGGCGTTGCGGCTGGCGGTGGCGGCGCGACCGCTGGTGGGCACCGGCAGGGTAGTAGTAAGCAGCGCCGAACCGCACGTCGTGCGCGTCGTGGGCGTCGTCGCCGGCGGCGACGGCCGCTGCGAAAAGAAACTCAGCAAGCTCTGCCGGGTGCCCAGGCCGGAGAATAGCGCCGACGGTGATGACGGCCGCGTTGCCATGTTGCAGCCCCACCCCTGCTGCTCGATTTTCTCCGCCGCTGTCGCCATCATCGCCGCCGGCAAGGCGAGAGGGGAGGGGGACACCCGGGCAATCTTCTTGGCCGGTCTCTCTCCTCCTCCTCCGCCGCCGCCGCCGTTGTCGTCGCCGTCGCCCCCGGCGCCGTCCGTCAGGAGAACACTTCCGAGGGCGTTCATCTCCGGGGAGAACGACAACAACTCCTCCATCTGTTCTGCGTGGTCCTCCAACACGAATCCGCTCTTCTCCTTGTTGTTCTCGCGTGGTGCCGCCTTCGCTACCGCGGCCAGCCCCCTCTGCTCTTCCTCCTCCTCCTCCTCCTCCTCCTCCTCCTCCTCCTCCTCCTCCTCCTCCTCCTCCTCCTCCTCCTCCTCCTCCTCCTCCGGCGTTTTTCGCTTCTTGGAGCGGCGGCGCCTAGAGCGAATCGGGGACGGTTCGATGGCGGTGAAGGTGGTCGCCGACGAAGAAACTATCCCCGCCGCCCCCGCCGCCGCCGCCACCGGCCCCTCTGTTCTCGCTGCGTCCGCCGCCACGACGGCGGCCGTGGGAGAGGCGGCGGCAGCTGCGGCCAGCGCTTCAGAATCGTTCAACAACAATAGCTGACGCTCTTGTTCAAGGGGTCGGCCCAAACCACCGCTACTGCCCACGGTCGTGGCGGCGGTGATGGTGATCGTTGCGGCAATCGTAGCAGCACCATCACCACCGCCATTGGGGCGAGGAAAGGCGGCGGGGTCTTGGTCGGCGCCCGCTGCGGTAGGAGTTACCGGCGCCGGTTGTCGCTGCTGCCACTGCTGCTGCTGCTGCTGCTGCTGCTGCGGTGGCGGCGAACCAACTTGTTCGACGTCGGAGGGCGCGAGGGTGCAAGGCCAGGAAGGAATGGTATTCGAAGCGCCTGGCCGTTCGCCGCGCGACGAACCCGTCGTGGGCGGCGTGGTGGGGGGGAGTGACACCCAGCGAGATGCGAGGACTTCCGCGGCGGTCGGGCGTTTCCTAGGATCCAGGGAGAGCAGTCTTGAGAGCAGTGACCTAAGGCCTGATTATATAGGAGATTGCAGCGGAGGGAAATGGGGCAAGGAGGAAGGAAGGGGATACGTTGGGGATTCTTAGACAATATACATCCAATCGAAGGAAGGGTGTCCATCCGAGATATAGCCACAGAAGACGAAGGATTTTCTTAAAATTCTGTCTTGCCGTTACGTGACGCATCCCGTTCGACTAGTCGTGGTCATCTCTCGAATGGGTAGTTCTTGCTGTGTTTGTATTTATTTTCCCTAATAATACAATACACGCTCTTTCCCTGCTTGTCAATAATCTATTTATCAATGCTGCATTGAACACATGGATGGGCCGAGCAGCATGTTGTGACACATGAAGAAAACTCCAACACGCAGGGTAGTAGGTAAGTTGGCCCTCTTCTTTTTCGTCCTGAACGAGAAAATATTAAAATATTGAGGAGACTGGAGACACACACACACGTACAATGCATGCGTGTGGCAGGAAGGTACACCAGGTCGGAAGGTGTACATATATGTATTCATTCGAGAAATAACTTGGAAACGAGAACATATATTATGGGCGTGTGCCGACCGGAGCACGACAACATTCATTTGCCAGCAACGATAAACCGCACAATATACATACA